GATGTTCAAGTGAGTTTTGGTTTTTTTTTTTTGAACACTTACATTCACTTTTATAGGAAGGCCATAATTCACACTCAGTTTTTAAGATGATATGTTGTGGAACGTGATGATGTTTTCACAGATGTCTCAAGATCATCATAAAACTTCTTTGCTAAAGAACATTCCAGCTCATTCCAAAATATGTAACATTCAGATTAAATAGTTGATGCATTCACCTAGTTTTTATTGTTATTTTTATTGTTATTATTGCTTTAGTTAGAAGGAAAATTTAGGAAAGAATGGTGGTTTAGGCAGATATTCCTAGTTTTAAAAAACAAATTCCCATTATATGAAAATAAAAAGGATTAAGCATTAATTTAACTAGTACCTCATGTAGGTACTAGTCAGTATATGCTCTGATATATGGGTGGGCTTCTTGTCATGCTTTGCGTTCCCACACAAATTGCAGGTGACCAGACACCTCACACCAGACATGCTTTAATATGTAAGTGTTGTTATTTTAATAAAACAGATGTACTATTAAAAACAAACAAACAACCTTTCACTTTTAGTACTGCATTTTATTTGGAAATTTACAACCTGCTAATGTGCAACAAGATTCCCTGTTTGCATGTTTGTGCCTAGAAGCACAACTGTTAAAAACAATGAGTGCTCTGGTATCTCCACGTTATTTCACCGCTGTCTGGCAGTTGTGCTGGTATTGATTTTTCCATATGCTCATAGGTGGAGTATTACCCATATGGATTATTAATCATTGCTATTACCTCGAATTCGTATTTATGGGGGTTTTTTTTGTGTGTGTCATAGCCTAACCAGAATTATGTCGCTGAACCTAAGAACCTGAAGTGAGAAATAACTTTTCTTCCTGGAATAATCAAGTGTCTGTTAAATGTTAAATGCCCAGTACTGCGGCATGTCACTGGGATGCACCGCATTGTGAGAAAGCGGCTGCTGGCTTTCACATTGCACATAATCTTGAGACCCACGTGAGGTCACTCTGTGGCAGTCCGGGCTGGAGGGGGAGCGCTCACGGCCGTGCTTGGACCCGTCCCAGCCCATGTAATGATTTCCCACCTCTTTCTCCCCATTCCCCCCGCAGGCTCCGTGGATATGGTATTCTTCACGTTGTGTTCCCAACTGCTGTGTAATATTGCTGAGTGCTGCCTAATCTGTACCAGGTGGCTAGGTTTTGATGAAAAATTAAATGAGACCAGTATATGGTTTATGTATGCCTTCTGTAAAGTAATTTAGGATCTTGGCCTTAATTTTCGTAACACGTTTGTGAATTCAGCAACTCATCCACTTTAAACCTTTCAAAACTGGACTGTGAAAACTTGCCCATGTAAAAATGTTTTTGAATATAGTTTTGGGAAATAGATGAATATATCTATATTAGCCTGTACTGCGCTTGTGAGATAGGAAAAGTAGTCTGCACTGGCAGTCTTTCTTTACTTTCTTAAAAAGAAAAAAAAGTTATTTGCAGAAGGTGGATGGTGGATTCACTATAACTTTTAATCATTTTTACCACTTACAGAAAGTGGCCTTTTTCCCTGAATTACAGGATTGGTTTTGAAAAGCATAAATGCGAGTTGTGTCCAACCCATATTGGCATGTGTTGAGCACTGGGTATTTAACTGACCCTCATGCCTTTGACAGTCTCCCCCTGTGAGAATAATGATGCATTTACTGACCAGTCCTGGTTCCCCTCCAATGATTTTTGCATTGTATATTTGTATTTTAGTGTAACTGCCAACTAGTGTATTTATAAATCATATCTTCATTTTTGTTCTTGGTTTAGTGATCTTGCAGGGCACATACATTGTATTGTGGACACCCAGACACTTTGTGGATTGAAGTTGAGTTAAAATAAACATTCTTAAAAAATAGAATAAGTTTCTTCCTACTTGATGTTAGATACTTTTAGGTACGCTTAGTTACAGAGTCCATTGCTCAGATAGTATTATCTCAGCTAAAAATAATAAAAATTCTGGCTATGTTAAAATTCTTCTGGGAGTTACAGAGCTTGAATTACATAAGTTGAAAAGATTTCTGCCCTATTAATATCTTTATAGGCACAAAATCTGTTCAACATTTTATTACTGAAACACTTGCCCATTTTTGTTAGAGAAGCTATAGAACATATTTTTATGGAAAATGTTGGCATGATTTTAAAAGCCAAACATAGATAGTGCCAAATGTAACACAATAAATACCACAGCCAAGTGCAGCAGCTCTAAAATGATGGAAATTTTGAATTTCAAGACTAATTTTCTTTTCTACATGTAAGCAGTATGTGTCTCTTGAATTTGCTAAGTGGTTCTAGACTGCTTTTCTAGTAACAGTGAATCATATAATTTTGAGACTGCTTGTCTCTTGAAATCGATGTAGAGTTTCCTGCTGGAGATGATTTTCCACCTGAACACTGTGGTATGAGAATGCAGTACATTTGGACACAAAATTGGAAAGTGTTGAGTCTCTTCCGAAGAAGAATGAGAAGAGCTACACTTTGTTAATTTTCCAAGAAATTTTAATAATTAATGACTTTGAACTGAATTTCTCCAATAAGGAATAATCTCTTGAGAAAAAAACAAAACTGAATTAAAGAGTAAGATGAAATCTGTCACCTGGGTGGTTGGTTTAACATTGGTCTGATTAATGGATCAAGCCTATCTTGAACCTTTTAACTTAGTCTGTATCCATAGTAACCTCTACAATTTCAGGGGGAGGAAGCACTCAGAGTTTAGAAATTATAGCTCCCTTCAGCTTTGGTTGCTTACTCCATTTGTTTAGGTTCACCTTCTTTCTCACAGGAGGGCCTGACATTGCTAAAACTGTAATTTCCTCTTCCATGCACCTTAAGTAAAAACAAGATAAAGAGCAGCTTTTAAACAAATCAAGCATTTATTAAACGTGTAGTTAATTCACTGTATTAAGAAAGGTAATTTTTTTTTTAACTTTGTTACAAAATAGCAGTACATCATTAATATACCATGGCTTGACTATTTATTATGTAGTACAGAAGAGCATATGACCTTCTGAGACTGTTGTAGCCAGTGCAATTGTAACTGTCTGTCAGAGGGTTCAATTACTACAGGGGCAGCACTCTTTGCTTTAAATAAAATAATTTTTCTGACTTTTTAGAAATAGCTTTCATTACTTTTGTGGGTTTTCTTCCGTTCAAATATATGGCGTTATCTTTTAAAAACAAGCTTAATATAGCATGTGGGATTTTGAAAATGAAGTTGGATGGCCAGAAATTGAGGTCTACCTATCATTATTTTATAGGCATTTAATTTTGCCTTATCTCTTCCACGCTCTTCTCCTCCTTCAAATGGATTTGGATTTTTTTTTTTATTTGGAATTTTTTGATTTTTGGCCTTACTTTGTATTTTGATGGAAGAGTTTTGTTCCATCTGTCTGGCAACAAAAATCATCATAGTGCTTTGAATTAAGATTTATTAAATCTGTAGTCAATTTAGA